CCAAATGCAGGTGTGAAAAACTTGTTGCATCATTCCCAAAAAGACTCATGGCTGTATTAGCTCAAAAGGGTGCTTCTACTAAATACTGAGCAAAGGGTCTGAATACTTATGACCATGTGATATTTCAGTTTTTCTTTTTTAATATATCTGCAAAAATGTCAAAAATTCTGTGTTTTTCTGTCAATATGGGGTGCTGTGTGTACATTAATGAGGAAAAAAATGAACTTAAAGGATTTTAGCATATGGCTGCAATATAACAAAGAGTGAAAAATTTAAGGGGGTCTGAATACTTTCCGTACCCACTGTAGGCATGTTGTGTTAGCATTTAGCTCAGAGCACTGCTGTGCCTAAGTACAGCCTCATAAAACCTAATTGGGTGTTTACAATTTATCACAAACATGAAGCAAAGAATAAATCAATTAATCAAGAAAATAATTAGATTAAATGTCTGTTAATTAACAGATAATGAAGAGGAGCAGCCCTGAAGAGGAGTGTGTGTCCATCTGTGTCAGATGAAGAACAATCTGATTCAAATTTGCAGAAAAGCAGTAGGGTCCACGCAGCTCCACGGAGGAGGCGATATTATATCAATGAAACTCCTTGGCTTGGATCACAGTCAACTGAAAGTGAAAGGAGGAACTCCGCTGCGTTCAGCTTTTGATGTCTAAAAATGCTTCTTCTTAGAAACCTCCTCGTGTCCTCGTAACACCCCCAACGACAAGACTCAGCCTCTTTGATCAGAGGAGCTGCAGTCAGCTCAGCACAATGAGGCAAAGCACCGACACAGGGAAGCGTGCGCAGACATTACACTGAGTGTAAAGAATGTCTTGTGAAATCTCTGGACTGTTTCAATTTGAAAGCTCCCCAGAGCTTTGCTTTTGCTGGAAGTGCTCCATCAAAGGTCAAAGAAGAGGCTGACGCACCATCATCAGTGTTAATTTCCTTTGTTCAGAGTGACAATTTGCAAGATTTTCATACAAAACAGATCCTTTTTATCACATGCAATTGTTTAAATATGCCACTCTAAACCATAAACAAGGATCAGTTACATCTTCACTACATTATTTATTTCAATCACGTGTCTTACTGCACATTAGTGAGATCATGAGCACACAACTCTGGTCTGAGGTTGTTATATAAAAGCTGAAATTAAAAACAAGCCTGTAATGTGTTGAGAAACAAGCACTGCACAAACACGACACCAGAAGCCTGAATGTGATGTGCACCTGGAGACAGCGGCGTCTAGATGATCCTCCCAGTGAGTCTGAGCTCCAGCAGTGAAATGACTTGAACTGCATTCTCACTGTTCATCTAGAAACACTTGGAAACCAGTTTCATCAGAATTATTGCTGGGTCCCTCAGAACTAACAGTGGTATCAACAGTGACTAAAGACTTCATGATTTTAATAGTTTTTTTCCCCTTGCAAAATACAGGAAGACTAAAACATGGCTGAAACATATTGTTAGGACTTTGTGTATGAGAAAAGACCGACTGTCGTCATTTTGCAGATTCAGTAATTGTCAGTATTGAGCTCTGGGCTCTGTTGTAGGACATCTTCTTGCTGCTGGAGATCCAGTACTGTGTAAATGTTTTATGTTCTTTAGATGTTTATGTTTTTCATCCATCACACATACAATAGATTCCAGACAACATCCGAGCCATCTTAAACTCACTGAGCAACATGACAATGAGTCCAAATATCCAGCCAGGCTCATAAAGAACTACAGGTAAAACAGATGGGAGGGGTCTCTTCCATCCACAGGACACGAGGGGTCACTGGCTGGTCTGATGACCATGATGTGAACCAGATGCTGTGGCCTTCCCAGTCACCAGGTCTCAGCCCAGTTGAACAGCTATGGGAGATGTTGGAGCGACGTGTTAGACAGCGTCTCCACCACCGTCATCAAAACACCACGAGGGAACATCTGCTGGAAGAACGGTGTTCATCCCTCCAGGAGGGTTCAGAGACGTGGAGAGTCAACGTGCACTGGAGCTGTTCTGGTGGCATGTGGCAGCCCAGCACCTCACTGGGACTCTCTGTGTTGGGGTTTCTTGTCATTTATCTGGACAGTATGTTCAGAAACAAGAAGGGTCTGGCCCCCACAGAACCCTGGTGCCATCATGTGGCAGGTCTCCAGCTTTTGCAGAGCACTGTAGATCTTTATAACTCTGGCTGGATGTTTGGACTCATTGTCAGGCTGCAGCATGAATTTTGCACCAATCCTGATGGTACTGATGATGACTCAAAATGATTTCTATTAGCATTTAATCTGACATTTTTTGATTAATCAATTAATCACATAGTCTATAAAATGGCATTAAATATTATTATACTCACACACCAAAATGTTCAAATATCTAGTTTTGTTCAACCAACAGTCCAAGATCCAAAGATACTCAGTTTACTCTAACGGTCTTCTTTCTCTGTAGGAACCCACCAACCCATAAGGGAACATATACCCCTTGTCCCAGGTTCTGCCTTTGTTTCCACTGCTCTCCACATGCTCTAGAGATGAGTCCTCCGAGATAAATTTCAGCACCGCTCAGGAGGTAGTACTGAATCAAACTCCAGGAACATGAGGGGGGATGAGACGGGTGCTGGTAGATCCTTCAACTTTCACCAGGTTATGGCTTGTTAAGTTCCCCTGGTATCAAATCCTCACTTTTACAAAGCCAGAAATAGCAAACATTTGCCATTTTTGCTTGAACCAAATTCCTAGAACTTTTATTATTGTTATCAAGTTACTTCCTGAAGTATTTTTCTGTCAAATGACCAAACGAGTAATCGACTACCCAACACTGCTCTATATGCGAGATGCCACAAGAACAGGAAGCTGGCCATTACCATGACAACCAGTCCCAAGGGCACAGGGGCAGGTTGTTGCTGGATTGACACTGGAGTGACACTGTGGATGGAGTGACACTGATGAGGGCCTTGGAGTCGGCCCTCCAGAACATTTTCTCAGTGAAGAGTCACTTCATATTCCCACCTTCATCTGCCTCCCTGTCGGTCTGTCCTGCAGGTATGCAGATGTGAGATCACTAATCACCTGCATGCACACGCAGGCACAAACCCAGCGCAGCAGCCTGCGCCTGTGCCTCAGCGTGCAGCAGGAAACATTTCATCACTGCTCTTCTGCCTCGTGTTCATGTCTTCTCCTGCTGCAGAGCTCTTTTTTCTTTCCCCATTTGCATTTTCTCATTAAGACCATCCTCATCTCATTCAGACAGAGGAGGCGTCACACGGTGGCGAGGGCCGACATCTGGAGCAGTGCACGCTCAGTGCTATTCAAGACAAGTGCATTATCAAACACACAAATGTGTATTGTCAGCACTGTGCATCTCTCTGCTACCTTTCCTCCGGGGCTCACCTCACCTCAGTGAGTAGACCCCACCCCCCCGTGAGAGAGTGGCAGACACCTCCTGTGTATACATTACACACCGCCTCCTGCACCAACCAATCAGGAGCCAGAGCAGAGAGGCAGACTTGGAAAGCACATAGTTACAACAGCAGATCTATACATTTGGCTCTCGGCAGAAGGGGACAGGGATGCAGAGAGGTCCGGGCAGACTGGGCTGTGGAGGAGAAGCAATAGCTTTATCTGAGCGTTCAAGGCATCCCCGAGTGTGGCCTGGTCCGATGCCAGAGCAAGGGCCACATGCACACACACTCAGAAACAAGCAAACAAGACACGCACTCCTCACTTGGAGGCTGTAATGCTTTCCACTACTCTCCAGTAAATGTAATCACTCTAAGGGTGTGTTTGTGCACAGAAAATGGTGAGGCAGAAAGAGCCCAGCAGGGTAAGGAAGGATGAGAAAAGGAGGAAGGAAAGAGGAAGAGGCAAGAGGGAGAGTGGTTGTGCAGGAGAGGAAAGACATTTCTGAATGAAGCCACTTTGATAAAGAAGAAGAAAAAAAAGGTAGTGTGCTGTTTCCTCCTCCTCTTACTCACAGGAGACAGCGTGGATTTAGGTGAAAAAGCTCCTTTTAGGAGCTGATGGTGGTGATGGTGGTGTGGGCGTAGATGACAAGTGAATGTGGAAGTGTAAAGAGCCATATGGAAAGGCAAGAGTGAGATAAAGACTGTGCAGGAAACAGAGCTGAATAAATCCTGTCAGAGACAGACTGGGGCGGACAAAGAAAAGGTTGTGTCCCAGCTGCATCCAATGGTATTTGCAAGCGTCCAGATAAGGTGCCGCGCTAGTAAAGGTCGGACATTTTGAACTGTGCTGACTGAGCCTCTAGAGCAGGTAACGAGGCGCACAACACAATCTTGCACCACCCCTCTGGTTCAGAAAAAGCAAGATGAGCCAATGTAGTTTTCCAAAAAGGTCATTTGACTTGTCCATCGTCCACCTCCCACAGTAAAGCAGGGATTATGGTTACCATGGCACCAGGAGGAGGATGAGGAGGAGGAGGAGGGGAGAGGGTTGTCCCACGGTCATGGCAACCACTATTTCAGGACTGAGTTTGTCATCATCCTCATTTAAACAAGTCCCCAGGTTAGCGTCATGCCATCAAGAGACCACACACACACACACACACACACACTGCTGCAGCCAAAGCCTCAGAGGATGGCCAGCAGAAAGACTCCCAGAGAACACGTTCACCTCAGGTTCGTTGTGTAACCCCGCTAAAACACACATGGGTCAAAGAGATCAGGGGGGCTCTGCAGAATGGACACACCACCCCCTACTGCACACACACAGATATATATATAAACCACCCTCCTCCCCTTCCTGCCCCTCAGGCGCCATGCAGCACTCGGAATGAACCCACAAATCCTGACGTCTCATGGTGAGGTGTCAGTGCCCATACACACCCTGGCTGGATTCAGTGCATGGGCATGAGTGGTGTACATGCTGGCAGACGTGTGTGTGTTTATGCCTAGTGTGTGTGTATGAGCGTGGATAGGTGAGAAAATGTGGGTGTGACTGCCAGAAGTGGCTGCAGAGGTATTAAGATTGAATACAAATTACCATTAAAACAACCTTACCTTTGACTTGACTCTCGTACTCAGCGAGGATTTCTTTGTCCTTCTTGCTTTTGTTTGAGTTTGACATGTCGCCACAGTGGAGGTGACTGATCGGCAGGTATGAAGAGAAAAGAAGCAAAAATTCCGTTTTATTTCCCTCTGTGTGCACAGCCCGAGGCTTCACCCGCACCCACTCGTGACCGCCACCGCCGGCGCTGCTGCTGCTACAGCGAGGACCCGCAACATCCATCCTGTTGATTAGAAACAAACAAAAAATCTTTTAATTCAAAAAGCTGCAAAAACAGCTGCCTGTTTCAGCTCGTGCAAGCATGCAATCACGCCCGCGTGCATGCACACACACGCACCAATCTGCAGGAGGGACGACCGAGCACACGCCCACTAGGTAGAAAGGCAACGGACCACACACGCACGCACACACACATGCAAAAAGAGAAACAGCACACTGAGAGTCGGTGTTTGATGTTATTTCACCCCGCCGTAACCTTTCACACGTACAACCCTACACGCGCACTGTCACTCACGTACAAGCAGCCAGATGTCCCAGCCTCCGTGCGTGAAACTCCTGCCAATGAGGGTAAATGAAATGCCGGTGAGGAAATAGGTGTGTCCGCACTGGAGGCGGGATTAGAGGCATGATTGACAGCCGAGGTGACCAGTCACAGAGTCACAAAGCATCATGACTAGAAACAAGAAACTGAGCCCACTGACAGTTACCTGTTACTTTTAGCTACTGTTTCAACGAATTAACTAGCACCTCTCTCAACCAGAAAAAGATGGGAAGAAGGCTGGGTACAATAAAAATCTGAGTGTGAATTAGAAACTCTCCAATCAAATAGGATCATTTCTCTACACCAGTGGATAAAAAGTGTCACTGGAGTTACGCCTCATCAATACCCATAATGTTGTGTTCATTTTGATTTTAAATGAATGAACTATAAATGATTGTATTACAGTAATTTATTGTCTGTTACTTTTAACTGCACTGTAAAAATTCCAACTTGTAACCTTTTATTCTCAAATAAAAGTTAACTGAAAATAAATTAGAATTTTTTTTATCTAACTCAAAATAACAAGTTTACTATTTAATTTTAAATAATACCTCAGTCACTTTGAAAATACAATTGAAAATGTGATCATAATTTTTTTTTCTTAAGGAGGACAGCTGTGAATTTTCTACACACCATTAGAGCATGGATGGGGCCACATTCTTCCATCTGATCCCAAACTGTGCCCAAGAGTGTGGAGTCTGAACCTGACCTGGACTGGACAAGCTTACAGAATACAGTGTCTGAACCCAACCCGAGCCCAACACAGTTGATTTTGTACACAGTTTTCCCCTTATCCAGACATTTGAGGGCTCCAGCTGTCTAGCCTCAAGTCTGACCTATGTGGTCAAACCCGACCCTAACTTGAACATGATCTCTAAATTTCTGGCCAACCTGGCCCAACCATATGGGTACCCGACGAGTCCTGTCTGGCTTGGTTCGGATATCCACACGCCACACACTATTGTATTCCAATTAAGGAGATATGTTCTTCAAAGGCTGCATTTGAAGACCGGTCGTGTCATAGCGTCATGACAAGGCTGTCCCATGTCAAAGGTTCCTTCAAATGCAGCCGAGAAATGCATCCTTCTTTTGCCAGGCAACGACGGCCCCAACTGGTGAATCCTTCAGGGTTCAGTGTATCCTGAGATTCTTTGCATACCAAAAGAAAACAAGCAGCTGTAAAGGTTGCCAGGCAACAGGAGCAGCATGGTCCCTGGTCCGACCTTCCCAGTCAAAGACAGCTACATAGGCTACGCCCTCATGGAACACGTCCATCAGAGGATGCGGCCCTTGAGTTGAGACCCAGTTCATGTGCCTCAAAGTAACTGGTATGTTTGAGCATAATTTATGATATATATCTACTGCATATGCTAGTTTTGCATTTCATTTCTTCGCAGTTTGTTTGACAGAATGGAAAAGACAATGCAATGTGACAGTTTGTTTACTTTTTCTAACTGGTGACTTTGTCACTAATGTTAATGTCGCTTAAAGTTTTTCCATGTCAAATGAAGAACTGATTGTTAAAACTGAGAAATGGAAGAAGACAATTTATATGTCTGAGGTTCCATGTGACCAAACTGCTGAGTCAACCTATAATTTAAAGTTCACTCAACAAAGGATTTGCTGATTTACAGACTTGCCAAAGTTGCTTTTTCAAATTTGACAAATTAATCAATCTACATACAACAAACCTTGTTTCTGAGTTGACCTAACTGCTAATTTTAAGTAATTTAACTTTTTAAATTAGTACAACTAAAAGCCTTTAGTTGAGAAAAGATTTTGCAGCTGCTTGCATTACTTTTTAAAAGTTTCTCTTTTTTTTATTTTTACAGTGTACAATTTTGCACCATTTATCCAGTCTGTTAGCAAACTCATTCATTCATTTACCCACTACTCTTAGCTACACTGTTTCAGCCAAATATTCTCTAATTACAGCTAATGTCTTCAACAATTTATCCACTATGTTTAGCTACTGCATGTTATAACCATATCCGTTACTTCCAACTATCTATTTCAACTATTTTTAGCTATTAGCTTAATTATACTTAAACCATCGCTTACTTTTAAGCGACCTAATTCAACCATCTAATTGTTACTATAGCTAACTGTTTCAACATTACATTAAGTTACTATTTGAGCCATTTATGTATTACCTTTAGCGAACAATCACAACTTTTAGCAAACAACTTACCTGCAGCAGTTGTTCATTAGCCTAGCTAAACTTTAAGCTTCACCCAGTGACCCTGGCCTTTGTGGCTTGTGACCCCTCACAAAAGGTAGTTCCACCAAAAACACATTTCTCTGTTTGAGTCCAAAATGCAGTTTATTTACAACCCAGCAGTATATAAAGTAATGTAAATTAGGCCCGCCTTAACATCTCTGGCATTAAAGCTGTATGCTACATAGGCTAATTTAATTATAATCCAGTAATTTCTGATATATGTAATTTGAAATGTGACATTGTATAGATATTTGGTATTTTACATATACAGTATTTTGATGGCAGTTCTTTGTGTGTCTGAGTAGCAGCAGGTATCAGTAGCATGTTTAGACAAAGGTAGAGAAAAGTGCATTTTGTCCAGAAAGCCTTTAATAATGGTGTATGTGCTCTGTATGAGATGTTCCTGCCACGTTGACCTTGTGTTCCCACATTGTCCACTGGGTTTCCCACCATTAAATCAGCACAGTTTGTGGCTCAGGCTTCACTTCAACCTCAGAAATCAAACTCTGTGCTGGTTGTCCTCAGCTGTCCCAGTAGAGCAGAGCAAGATCAGTCACAATTTCAGCTGTAATGTACAGTACAGTACGTCAGTGTGCCTGAACCTTTGTCAGGTCCAAATTCATGACTGTTTGTCTCCACCTTGTGGTTCAGTGTGAGGACCTTCAACTGATGGTGTGTCTGACTCTGACACCTGTGTTTTCTTAATGTTGCTGTTATTCCCCCAGCGTCTGGAGTCCCACTGACCTCAGTACTTTATGTATATTATTCCATCACAGAGGTACTGTAGGGCTGTAATTAATTATATTCATTATCCATACATGTCAGGTATTTTGTTCTAAAAAGTCTAATAACCTTTCAGTGTATACAATGTCAGAAAATGGTGAAAAATGCCCACTGTTACTCCCTGAAGCCCAAGTCCAACATGTTAGTCCAACCAGCAGTCAACAACCCAAAAAAACGCTGAAGCCCAAGTCCAACATGTTAGTCCGACCAACGGTCAACAACCCAAAAAAACTGAGCTTACAGGAAACAGAGAACACTAACAGATATTCACTTTGGGGAATATGTAGCATTTTTCTTAAAATAATCTTTATTAATCAGGTATCAAAATTCTCAAGTTAACATTTGACCCATAATGAAACTGCCATGAGAGGCAGTAAGGGGCTATATAACAAATTTTTGCTCCCAGGTCCCCAAGGAGGTTAACTTGGCCATGCTATTCACCGAGATATATTACCAACTCTGCTAGATTTTGCAACTACTAAGGGATCAAGAGTCAGAAAACCTAGTGTGAAGTTCACTGCTGGTGACACTGGCCTGACAGCTTCACTGGTTTCATGATGATCTTAAGTCTGCAGGGGACAGCGGAATAAAATGCAAATGTAAGTGAAGAAGAATAAAGTAGAAGAAAAGTAAAAGTATTCAGTGGGGAGGCTGCAGCTGTTTAATTTAACTGATTTGCTCATGTTGCTCACTGCGGGTTTTGCACATCTGTTAAGTTTGAATATGTCTATATGTGTTTAATACCAGTAGGTGACAGCAGAGCAGCTCCAATGGCAGCCTTTTTCTGCCAAACAACTCCACAACGCATCAACTTAAGGAAGAACTAAAGAGCTGCTCCATGTGGACCCCAGGGCAGTCTGGGTGAAAAAACCAGGAAATGAGGAATGTTTTCCACTGTGGTGAGTGCTAAGACAAACAAGGGGCAGAAGCTCAGACTGAGCCAACGTCTGGCACAGTAACACGCCATGACTAAGCTCATCTAACAAGCTGATCAACGCTGGCCTCCTGCTGCAGGACGTAGGAAGAGCAGCATTTTACACTTTACCAAACACATAACGATCCATAACACAGAATGAAAACATCTGTATTACTGTAAACATCTGCAAAATGTCATACAGTGATTGCAAGTTTGATGATTCCTAAATCATTAATCCAATCAAATGAGCTTTGTTGTTAATGTTAAATTACTGCCAAAGTTAAAAAAGACACTATGTACAATTGAAGACAACATTTCATCAGGCAACTCTCTGGTAATAATGTATGGGATGTGTAGATTGTCACGCTGTGTTACAGACAGCAGTCTAGCATCCCAATAAGCACCTGACACTGTTTGTTGTGCAGCTTCTTCTTGTTCAGCCTCATGTGTCCTGGGCAGAAAAACACAAGCCAGGGTCTGCAGGCCAGAAATAGAAACATTCAGGGTTTCTAAATGTTTGTGCCATGAGTTTCTAGGGACACATTGAGCTGATGAAGTTCTCTGTCTATCTTGATCTTTCATATAATTATTGTTCCTTACACACAAAATCAATATCAAGTTTCATCTCTGGATCCAGAATCAAGGTCCAAGATTTTTATTTTATTTTTTAGTTATTTATTTATTTATTTTGCAGAGCTGGGT